AGTGAGTGAGCAAACACACCACAAAGTAAGTTAAGTTTCACTTTCGTTCGTTCCCATTCATTCCAATGGGCAAAAACTTGCATTAAAATATTCATATTAAAAAAACTATAGAAGTAATAAAAACCAAAAGGCATAGCAACTCATTCCTGATCCAGCCGCACAAAATGATATAACATATATGAAGCTTTTGTCAAAACTGTGGGATGGGTTACGGTCCAAACTTTCAGGCGGAAAAAGGAAAATAATAATAATAATAAATCCGAGCAATAGTAATAAGTGTGCCTTTTGGCATAGGCACACTTAATAAAGGGGGAGAAGGCTCAATAGGAAAATCATAATGAATCCCCAAGGCACTAACCCTTTCTTTTCTTTCTACTTGAGTGCCACGAGTTTACTGTCAGTCAGAGAGCTGAGTGCAGCATACACACAAAACATTGCTCCAACAGCCTGCAGGCTCGTTCATGTGAAGGGCAGCTCCTTGCACCACACCACAAATACACAGCATGATTGTTAAATTCACTAAACATTCACATTAGCCATTAGGAGAGAGGAGCTTAGCTGCTTTGCTGTAGTCCATGTTTTTTTGTGATCCCTCAGACTATTCGTCACTCTGTTAGGAGTCTGGAGATGGTTTCCTTCATGTGTTCACAGTGTGTCGGTCGGTACAGCTCAAACCTGATGAACATCCACAATTGTATCTCTTTCTTTTTTTTTCTCTTTTTGGAGTCCTCAGAAATTTAATTTGTTCCTGTCATGATTAATTTGCCCCAGCATGTGTTTGTGAACATTATCCTCACTTAGATCCTTGTTCTTCAAATTAAAGCCAGATTGTCATCGAGGTAAACATCTAGCTGTAATTTTACACTTAAACCAATGGAGTTAAATTCATTTAATCTGTAATATTGCATTGTTTTCCTTATATCTTTTTGTCAATATTATTCATTTTATTTAATAGATTTCTCTCTTTTAACGTTTAGAACTTGAAAATCTGTTGAGTTGTTTGGTTATACAGTAATCTGCAAAATTCTTGAGCTACATATGGCGAAAATGGAGTTTATACAATTCTAATGCACTTGAAAGAAATTATTTGGAATAATCGCCTTTATTCTTCTGAACTCTCTTAGGCAAACTTTCCTGTAATTTCTCGAAGCAGTCTTCAGGAATAGTTCTCCAGTCTGCTTGATTGAGATTCAAAGCTTTTGTTTGGATGTTTGCTGACTTTTGTTCTGTTCCTCTTGCATCCTGTTACAAAGTATTGAAGTCTAGACTCTGAGGAGGTCAGTGTTGGGAAGGTTACTTTTAAAATGTATTCCACTACAGATTACAGAATACATGGTGCTAAATGTATTTTGTAACGTATTCCGTTAAGCTACTCAATGAGAGTAATGTATTCTGAATACTTTGGATTACTTAATATATTGTCATGTTTTTTACAACTACATGAATGTA